AAGTCTAATAAATATTTAGAATAAGTTGTAGAGCTGTCGTTGATTTTGAGCTGTGAGAAAAATGCTCGCGTTTCTGGTTCTGATCTTTTCCGACGGTCCTGGAGGGTCCGTGAAGGCAGCAGCACTGGACTCTGGAAGTTGGACGTGAACGGGACAGAGGAGACTGCCCAGTCCCTGAGAGGAGCTGAGGGGACCAGGTCGGGTCYAAACCGGTCCTTTGCGCTGGTGGACATGTTTCCACACCTGAAGACCAACTGAGGACCAGTTTTATTTGACTTTTTTTATTCTTTTTTTCTGGTCGAAGCAAGATGTTGCCCCGAAAAAGCATCATCCCGGAGGAGTTCGGTCTGCCGGGTCTGGTCTCGCGGATGCCCCGCAAGCCGGTGTTCAAGGACCGCGTGAACAAGGCGCGCTTCATCGCCAAGAACGGCTCGTGCAACCTGGCGCACAAGAACATCCGCGAGCAGGGCCGCTTCCTGCAGGACGTGTTCACCACGCTGGTGGACCTGAAGTGGCGCTTCACGCTGGTCATCTTCACCACCACCTTCGTCAGCAGCTGGCTGCTGTTCGCGATGAGCTGGTGGCTCGTGGCGTTCGCGCACGGCGACCTGGACCCGGAGCGCCAGAACCTGAGCCACTGCGTCACCGACGTCAAGTGAGAACTCACTGTTTTATCCGTGGAAGCTCATTTTATCATTTTAACCCAACTAACTCCCACTCTTCTTCGTCTTCTCCATTTTGAATCTGCGGAGGAAGATGAGGGAAAAGATGGACCTTTAAGTTTTAACGCTTTCCTCCTTTTTTTAAAAATGTTATTTATTTATTTATTTTATTTTTTTACATTTTTCACAGAACAAAAAYGTGGGAATGTTCCAGCTCTAGAAGTTTTGACAAATTCCTTCCTCTTTCTTACTTTTTCAGACTTCATCATCTTCTTCCTCTGTGCTGAAAGTGTTTCTGTCATCCATCAAATTAACCCAAATAATTAAATTTTGTCACCATTTTTTTTTTACTTTAAACAGAATTTAAAAATATTAATAAACGGATAATTTTAGTTTTTATGAATGAAACTTTTTACTTTACATTTTGTAGCTTTTTCATCTAAATCAGGGATGTCCAGAGTGTGGCCTGGGGGCCATTTGTGGCCCCTGAACTGATTTTGTGTGGCCCCTGACTTCAGTTCAAGAATTATACAAATTTGTTTACAAATGTGTCCCCCCGGCACAGGTGTTTGATGTAGATGGAGACATTTGATTTATTATTAGGACAAATTTATCACAAAGTAAAATCTTGCAATAAAAAATATTGGCAACAGTACCAATCGTTTGTCTTTAAATAACCAGATTCTTAGTTTTTTCCACATCTATCTAGTGACTTCTAAAGCTGATTTTGCTGAACTCCAATCTGCTTTAAATTATAGAATAATTTCTCTGAACACAGCAAGCATTTTCAACAAAAGAGTGACATAGAGTGAATTCACTAAATTTAGTTATTTTTTCCCCCCATTTGAAACCTAGAAAATAGCAAAATTTCTTTCAATAAGGGAGTCCTGCAAAACACTTTTAAAGTTCTGGATCTAGATGAATTTACACATCCATTTCCAGCAATAAATCTTTACTATTTGTTTAATTAAAGTATCCAATGCTTAGTTTATTGTTATTGTTTATTTTTGACCCTCAAATCCGTCAGACTTTATGATTTTGGCCCATATAACAAAATGTTTGGACACCCCTGATCTAAATGAAACAACCTGATTTTTTTTCTAATTTAAGTTTAAGTGTTTAAAAACAAAACTTTAAGTCATGCTCCGTTAATGTATTTTTAAATCCATTTAAGGTTTTAGTTTAACGGTTTCTTTCAGCATTTATTAACATGAATAAAGCATTTATTTTAGTAGCTGTTTGGTTTTATAGGTTTTGAAACCTGCATTTCTTTTAGCTGCACGTCTTTTTTTTATTATTTTTCTTCTCTGTCCACAGACGAGTCATATTATGTATAGTGCTGGCCTGAGCTCTAAATTCATAACTTTTAAAACAAAAAGATGTCAAACTACTCAGCTGAACACCTTCTAGATCAAGGCTGATCCATCATTGATTTCATGGTCATGGGGTCAAAGGTCGATGTCACAGGTGACCCCTTTGTTACAACTTTTAAGAAAGCAGGTTTTTGACTAAAAGTCCCCTTCTTCCCCTCAGGTCTTTCACTTCAGCCTTCCTCTTCTCCATCGAAGTCCAGGTGACCATCGGCTTCGGGGGCCGGATGATAACGGAGCAGTGTTTAGCCGCCATCTTGGTCCTCATCTTGCAGAACATCGTGGGACTCATCATCAATGCGATCATGCTGGGTAAATCAAAGGTTCCCGTCGAACATTTTCCACCTTTTTATTATAAAAGTTTGATTTATTCGCTTCGTAATGTTTGGATTCTTCAGGTTGTATCTTTATGAAGACGGCTCAGTCGAACCGCCGTGCGG